CATAGATATGGATATAAAAATCATCCGCATGTTGTAGACATCGTTTGTATCAGTAAAGATGTTGGATGTTATTGGCATCCGGATAGAGTTTATTCACATGTGAAAATATTGGTAAGAATTAAATTAAATTTTAAATCCAATAAAAGACAATTTCATTCTTCGTTCGGCTTTTTTTTGGGGCAGAACATGATGGATCAATGTATGAGGAACGAAAGAAAACAACAAGAAAAAGTACTTTAGAGAACGTACATGAAAAAAGGATACTAACAGATTTATCATCAAATCAGTTAATTTCCAATTAATGTTAAAATTAGAAATAATTAAATTAAAAAATAATAAGATGTATAAAATAAAAATAATAAAAAAAGGAAAATACTGACTTCGGCCATTTTGAAAGTCCTTTAGATTTTTGTTTTGTTTTGGAAATGTCATTATAAGCCCATGTTTTTACATTCTCCTATATATTACATTCAAATAAAATAACAGCTGTTGTGTAGAAGCTTTTCTTTCTCCCAACTAAAGCCAACAAATAGCGACAACAATTTTAGCAACTTTTTTTTACAAACAAGTAGGTAAGAAATGTAAAAAGTCTCTGTTCAGTAGCGGTTAGAGCCAAAAACAGAATGTCGTACCTGCTTCTGTTTATTGGCAGTTTTTTTTTTTAAAAAAAAGTGAAAAGCAATAAAAAATTACACACAAAAATGCCATGAATACATTTGTATGGAAATTTCAAATAAACAGAGTCAAAATATTCGTGTTTTTTCGGTTTACTAGAACATTTATTGGAGATTTTGTTTGTGGCGCTCAAAACTCAAACTAAAACAAGAGTGAAAACTACAACAACTTGTCTTGATTTGTTGCTATTTTTGTTCATTCTTTGCAGAGAGTAAATTTAGCCATGTGAATGTAAGAAGAAATGTGACAGGTTGTTTTGCTATGTAAAGAGGGGAGGGCGGGAGGCGGTAGCTCCAAAAGTCTTCTGCCACCACTCACATGCCTAAAATACAATATAACACGTATTCATTCGTCTACATGTGTACTCACATATGTGGACATACATACATACATATATGTATGTGGGTATATGTATGATAAATTTCACTATTTATATTACGTTTATTTAAACCGAATAAAGAAATAATTTGTTGTTTACCTCCTCTGGTGATGGCAGTCGGCACCGCTTGCCTCCGTCACCGTCTGCGCCTGGTTGTCTGCTGATGCTATTGCACTTTTATAATCTCTTGTATTTATTTAGAAAAAAATATGAAAACTGATCAACTGGCCGTCTGCCTGCACACCGAGTCCGTGCGTGCTGGTATATGTGTATGGGTGTGCGTTGTTATATTTATTTTTTTCTTCTTCTTAAATTTATTTTATTTTGTTCAATGTCCGCAGGCAAACAGTTTCTTTTCGAAATCACTTTATCTCTCTTTGCTTAATACATTTATGGTTGAATATTTGCTTTGTATTGCTTTTGTTGTTGGTGTTGTTGTTTCGCTGTTGTGTGGCTTAATTCACTTTTATTATGTGTTGCTGCTGTTGTTGTTGTTTGTGGTGGCTCTTTTTGTTTGTTCCAATTCAAATATTTATTAAACGAAAATTCATATTTGTTTGCTTGCCTGACAGGAACATCAGAGCGGCGGCAGCTATTATGCACTCTTTGTATTATCTTTTAAACATATTTTCTTACAAATTTTGTTTGTTTTCACATATGACGAACTGGCGGAAGGCAGGCAGGCAACAACAACAACGACGGCGAGGTATTAAGACCTAAATTTTCACTTTACCGCTATGTTTACACTTTGTGCTCGCTTCTTTACCACTGGTGTTTTTACCGTTTTTCCGTTTCCTCACAAAGAACGTCCGCCTTGACAGAGTAACCGCACACAACTGATCGTCGGCTGTTTGAGAGGCACGATCATGTAAACAACATAATGCACTTGTTCGCCGCTCAATACTCACCACACAACTGTGGTGTGGTGAAAGCTTGGCAACTTTGATACTAAAACAAAAGCTATGCTTCTTGCAGCAAGCTTAGTTTAACATTAGTTTAAGCTGAGAGAGAGAAAGAGAGAGCAAGAAAAGTGAGAGTGTAAAACGTTTTCAAAGGAAAAATGTAAACAAACCGTTAATTGAGGTTCCATTGTTAAGTAAACAAACTATAGTCAATGAAATATAAAAATCATGCTTCATGTAAATCACTATTCGAATTTTCTTTGTAGTTATGTGAATGGAAGGCAGATCACATATGTAAATAGACTAATGGCAAATGTGGATAGAGTTCCGTTAAAGATTTATTCATAAGGTAAACCGGGAGGCGAATTCGAAGTCACCATTGACTTTCAAATATATTGTTTGTAGAATAAATAAACAAAAATGTTTTTATTCGAAACAAAATATACGAGGACTTTACTACCATTAAATCATTAAATTTAGATTTTGTTGCCAAAATTTAAAAAAAAAAAATAATTTTTATATGAGAAGAAAATGGTTTTTCTTTAGTTTGAAAGCTGTAGTTCCTTTATAAATTGAACCTGATTTTAACCTAATTTAATCAACCCAATGAAAACTGTTTAATTCATGCGATCGAGTCCTTCCATCTAAATTCAGTACTTTTCCATCTGTTCTCGTAAATGAAACCACACATATCTATCTTTTAACTAGCAATTTTATGACAACTACTTGATTCTCTTGATTTGGGATCATGTTCTTTTTTTCCTACATTTAAAAATAATAAAAAAACACTATGTTAGTCAAATGTTTTATTTAGATAATTTCATTTATAACTTTTGTAAACTCCACTTGAATGCGAAGAATATTGCAGTGAACACAACAAATAAAAACAATTTGTCACCAATTCATAGTTGTTCGTGTTTGTTGTTGTTGTTGCAGTAGCTAGTAAAATATACATTTGCATTGGCCACAATACAGATGTATGTGTTTGTGTGTGTGCTTGTTGGAAGTAAGCAGAGATAGTTGAACAACAACAATATTTACTGACAAGTGTGTTATGGAAAAAAAAACAAAAGCAAAATAAATATATTCATATTTACACATCCTAATACACAAACATTTACATACATCGTATGCGCACACACACACAGATACATCGATTGCAGGAGATAAGAACTATGACAGGAAAAAATATGAAATTCAATGGTTTTGCTTCTGAGAGAGAGTGTATGTGTGTGTTTGCTGGCTGGTATGTATGAGAGAGTGCAGCAATGTTGCCACCGCACACTCAGCATTGCTTGCTTACACTTTACAATTGTTAAGTGTCTGCCGAAAAATATGCTATAGATTTGTCATATATTTTCCAGTGCAGATTGTAAAAATTGTATAAAAAAAAATAACGCCATTCTTCATTCCATTTGCCACGGGCACTGCAGTTGTTGTTGGTGATCTAAGATAATAAAATATGAATTTACAACATGAATTGGGGGGAAAACACAAACTAGAAAACAAATGATGCAAATGTAAAAAGGGGAAATAGGGAGAATACGGAGTGAATGAGTCCGAAAAAATAACAAAAGTGTCACAAGTAAAACTACAAGCAATAGTGTTTTTATAAATACACTGCCACAAGTGTCAAATCTTTTGTGGGGAAAGGGGGATTTGCAACAGACGAAATACACAGAGAAAAATTTGACATCGTTTTCGTAATCATAATATTGCTTATCAAACTGTAGACAGATTTTTTATAAATACCGTCGAAGTCAATAGTCCCAAGAAAAGTTCACCCCTGTATTGCGACCAGTTTCACCGTATGCGTAGACTTCTAATTTATTTGAATTTTCCGTTCTATCAGGATTGAAATATTTTCTATAGTTTGTGTTTTTTTTTTTCTCAGTGTACAAACACTTAACACCAAAGTCAATCGAGGGACAAATACAAAAAAATCCACTTTATTTACATGTTTCGGTATGACAACAACAACAACACAAAAAACAAAGATTGTAAATAATAATAAAAAACAAAAGTAACATCCAAATATAAATTCGTCTTGTTACAACACTTGATTGCTATAAAATTGTTTATTAAAGTTTGTCTCCTCCATTGGCCGCTGAGTTTGCAGATTTTTTGTCGATTGTCGTTTTTTTTCGTTTTATATTTGTCTTTTTTTGGTCTATATTTTTGCCGTAGTCCAACAACAAAGTACACATACAATTTATGTTATCTTAGACAATAATAAAAAAATCCTGATCGGTATTTTTCCTATTGTCGTTTAGTTCTGTTATTGTCTATTTCGTTGTTGGTTTTGTTTTCTTTATGACGTGGTGATAATGATTGAATATTGATTAAATTATAATGGGAATCGAATTACATTGATAAAAGTTAATCACCCACACACAGACGCATTTAATGATTTCTGCCTGTATTTATGAGATAGCAATGATTGATTGTATAATTAATAAAACGTTTTTTTTTGCGGAAACCAGACCGACGGGTTAATATGGACATAAATGTGACGTGAGTGTTTTTGCGTGAGATTATTTTGATGTTTTGTTTTTGATTAGACAGTTGTAATTTTGAGGATTAGTTTTAGCCCAAACATAAATTAATATAAACATTTTGACAGTACTAGTCTGTAGTTCCGACTACGGGACTACTTTATGGAATATTGTAGGAATGCGAACCTAAAGTCATTTTAAAAATTTTTTTAGCGTATGCGCATTTTTTATATGCCCACGTATTTATTTATTGCATTGACCTTCTCTCGTATATATCTAATATTAATTTTCTTGGGTCTTACACCTCCGGTTTGATAAAGAGTAGAGTAATTAGAATGTATTTTTGAAGAAAAAAGTCCATGTTCAATTTCGAAAGTAACTGACCTAAGTTTTGGTAGGCCGTACCACATTCCATTTCCTCATTTGCCCAACTCAACAAATTAAGAAACCTTCACGAAGAAATTATAGTGTAGTTTAATTTATTCAAATTGTGGAACACACACTGTAATCCATTTTTAAATACATTGAAAATCTTCCTCTTTCGCTTGACTACTGCGATGAAGTTGAGACCAGTGATGCCGGATATATTGTATAGATGTGACGATTGTAATTATTTAAATCGCCCGGATTATACTCATCCATCTCTTCGCTACAGTCAACACCCTCATCCTTTTCATTAAAGCCGATGGCAGCATCCTTGCTGTTGTTGTTGTTTTCATTTGCCATTTGTAGGCAGTAGGGTTTTTGTTGCTGATGATGATGATGTTGATGCTGTTCCTGCTGCTGCTTTTGTTGTTCCATTCTAATCTTTGGCTGTTGACATTGCCAGGTGGCGCGTAGAAAACCCGTACAACCACAAAAGTTCTCACAACAACTCAGGATCAAATGTGGTTCTTCAATATTGGTTGCTGTTGCACAGTCTGCAGCAGTGGTTACCGTTCCGTTACTGTGACAAAAACAACAACCGCCTGGCCATGAACAATCCGTGCACAACAAAGCTGAGACTTTGGCCTTAAAACGTAAGACATATTGTATGGTCTCCGTCAGAAAGGTATAGAATAACGGATTCAACACCGAACTGGCCAAGTTCAGTACGCCAAACACAAAATAGAGTATCCAATCTCTGGGCTTGCCATAGGAACCATACATACGCATCAGCAGAAAGATCCAAGCCGGGAGGCGTAAGAAAACAAATACCGCCATCATCAACAGGATAATGGTGAACATCCGCAAATGCCTGGCCTCGCGGGAGTTGCGTGTGGCATTGATGTTGGTAGGAGGCTGAGGCAGTGGAGATTTCGGTGCATTCGTTGTAGCATCAACACCACCACCACCACCACCAGCAAATGCTCCCGTTAAGTTACTTGGCATGGTACTGGAACTATGTCCAAGTTTACAGCTACAGTTTTGACATTGTGGTTGGGAACTTGTGCCCTGGGAGTAGGCAGCTGTAACCGTCTGTTGTGGAATCTGCAATTCCATGGGCTGATGCTGCTGTTGCTTGGACGTTTTGTTTTTACATTTGGAACGTTTTGATAACTTTTTGTTAATGGTGACACTGTGCCGGCGCTTCCATAACTTGCGAGCTATAATCGTATTAAACCAAAAGAATGCTCCAATGCAGGGTATAAAGATGATGACAAAGACAATTACATAATACAAGGTTACGTTTTCCTGGAATATAAGGCACCATATTAACATTGGTAGAATAACACATTAGAACTCATGAATGGAGGAAGACAGAGAAAGAGGTTATGTGTTCGACATACCTGATCAGATACACACATATTAACTAGCTTCTGTTCTCGCACCAATGTATACGACAGGTTCTCTTTGGAAGCCTCAATTTCCCAGGGTGTTTTCGTCGTCATCGTCATTGCTGATGCATTGTCTTTGATAAACGGTGGGCCAATGTGATGAGTCCCCCCTCCACTCTGCTGTTCCTCTGTTAAAATGTAAATCGGCATTATATCGTAGATGGTGAATACGGGACAGGCTATGCCAAACGATGCCAACCAAATGCACACCATGCAGATACAACAGGCAATTACACTGGGCTGCCAGAAGCCAATTACCGCTCGCATAACCGCATAGTAGCGGTCTACAGCAATGCCCACCAGAGTCATGCTGCTGGCTAGAATCGCCACCGTTGTGGCGAAGGGCACCAAGTTACACATAAGCGGGCCCAAAGTCTGCAATGGAAAAAATAATAATTAAATGATCAGTTGGCCCCATGCCAGAGCTTTTGCTGCAACCTACCCATATCTGAACGTATTCCACCGTAAACTCCGACAAATAGGCTGCACTTAGGAAGACCGTGTTCATCAGGTCACTCAATGCTAACGATATAAGGCAGGCACGAAAGAATGGTCTAATTTTACGTCGAAAGTTAACCACCAGTGTGCTGACATTGCCAAAGATAGATATGACGCACAGGAGGCTCACGGTGACAATAAAGAATTTTTTTTGTCCACTTGTCAACGAAGTCAAATCACTATCCAATATGCCGGGATATTGTGAGTGGACGTATTCATCGCTGTGGTCGTTCTGTTCACTACTCTCGGCACTGCTGTCACCGTCAAAGAAATCCTCCTCATGTGTGGTTTCCTCTTGCGGTGCAATTATAGTCGAACTATTGAGATATTGAAATCCATTGTTGTTAGATGTGTTGTTGTTGCCGTCGGAACAATTACGTAATACTTTTTGGATTTCGTTTATGTAGATGCCGGAAAAGGCCATTAATGTGATATAAGTGTAGTTGTTAATGTGTGTCTGTGTGTTTTTGTTATAACTGAAAGTATGGAAATAATATTGATTGAAGATTACTTTTTTAATACGCGAATTTATTCAGATATGAAAATGTTTCATGGAATTTCCTAATTCGGAAAATATTGACATAAATCGTTTGACGGAAATTTCCACTGAATGTTCTAGCATTTGCATCAGTCACCACTAAGCATTGATTGGTTGGTTAATATGTGTATATGGTATCTGTTCCAGTACATATAAGTAATAAAACTTATCAAAAGTATATCGAAAAATATGGAATTCTTTCAGGGTCGCATCAATTATTATTCGTTTATTAATAGTTTTATTTGGAACATGTGTTTAATTATTAAAAATGTCAATCCCAAAAGCAGTTCTATATCAGGAAATTTTAGTTCCCAACCCTAAAAATATACTCCACTCGAAAAAATACACATTTCTTCCTACAATGAATTTTAATAATTGTATTTCTGGCATAATTCTTTTGGAACTTCGGGACAGTCAATTTTTAATTTCGATTTTCGAACATGTATTCTTATTACTCATATTTACATCACTTCCACTGAACATAGTTTTTTTTTGCTCGATCCTAAAAATATACAGCACACTTCAAGACCAAAAATGTGTACTCTGCCCTTTTTTATTTTGTCTTGCAAATTTCCATTGGAAAACTTCCGTCTATTTTATTCGAATTATTACCGTTTATCGATGTTTATCAAACTGCCGCCACTTGTGAACTGAATCGAGTGGATTTTTGTGCACCCAGGAAACAAGAATTCCATTAACCTGTTAGCATTGGCTGGCTGGCAGTCATCCAATCGGCTTGTCATCATCGATTCGCCAGAGGTGGTCTTTATCAGGTTATCAGTTCAATGATTGGTATCTGTGGAGATAATGCGTCATTTCCCTAAATGTTTAGACAATTATGCAGTTGTATGTGTATTGGTGTGTGAGTCTGTGTGTGTGTGCGTGTGTGTGGGTATCATTAAACAATTAATAATGCGGCTTGTTTGAATTAAAGGGAATTAATTTATTGACAATTACAAAATCCTCGACTAAAATCAGGGACAAATGTGGATGAAGGCCAATGACATTTAGGGGGATCGATAAACATTAAAAAATGGGAAAAGGGATAGCTCTAGGTTTAGACTCACCTGTTGCTCAAAAGGCCCAAACAATGAAATGTATGAATTGAGGTAATTAGGGAGATAGATAAACTAAGGGGAAGATAAAAACTCAAAAAAGGGGAATGTGGGAAATCACAAGGCTTGGATGTTCTTTGACACTTCGTTCCTATTTGAAAGTTCATATAGTTTTTTTTTTTATAATTGCAAGACATGTGCGAATGGAGTTTACAACTGCCCCTGAAATTTATTTAGTAGCATTTTGTTATAGTTTTTCTCGTAGCCTTATCAGCGTTTCCATATTTTCCCCATCCCTTTTCCAATTTTTTTGTTTTTGTGAATTTCCATTGCAAGTCAAGTGTGTACAGCAATCATGTCAGTAATTGTTTCTGATCTGTTTACGAATGATTTATTAGCCATTTAACACTGGCTGATAGTCTTCCAGTGTGAATGATTAGATGGTATGGAATTTGGCTACTGGCTACTGTGGAACAATGCGGCTTATCTCCTTTCGACTACTCCCACGTTGCAGTACGTTGTGGCGCATAGATAATTGAAAACATGCCGGAATATTGGGATTTGCGTATTACTTTTTGAAAAATGAAAATGAAATATTGCACTCGAGAGTGAATTGAATGAAATTAAGCCATGGAGTCATTTGGCAACGATTCATGGCATAATTACAGGCGCTGACACATTTCATTGTTTAATTGCTGCAGCTAAAATGGCAATTCGGTTTTAATTGGCTTATTAGGCATTACACAACAAAGGCTTAATTATTATGTCGATTACTCGAAAGCCGTGTGTATACATACGCATACATACATAGATGTGTGTGTGTGTTATGATTGCTTGTAACGCTCTATTATTTGACGATTGCAAAAACATCAGCCTATTTTTAGGCAAATAAAACGATGATGATTTCCTTTTTTGTTCGTTTCAATTTAAGCAACGTTTTGTAACAAAAACAGAAAATCAACTAATTTGTAGTAACACGAAATTGTTAATTTAAAATGTTTGATGATGCACAACAAATTATCGCACAGAATTCCCCAATAAAAGAAATAAATAACAGAAAAAAACAGTATGGGAGTTAGATGTGGCATTTGAGGGGAGGAGGAAACGAACGACAGATACACGAGGTATGTGCGGCAAATAAAGCACACACAATTTAATTTCCAAGACTGAAATGATGAAAAACTATGAAGAACTTGACAAACATTATTCGTGTTAATCAAAATCAATGTACCCATATTTCCTAGTGGTAATGAGGGAGTTGAACCAAACCAGCAGATTAAATTTAAAATTTTCTACAATACCGAAAATTTAACTGAACATGTGATTTTCAATTGTTGTTGTGATTTTCAGTTTTTTTTGTGATTTCTTTTTTTTGGAATTTTTCTCTGTCCCTCGTTGAGATTTTCAAATTTTTTGGATTTTATCTCCGTTAATGTCCCTCGTATAAATTTGTCAAAAAAGTACATAGGTATACAAAACGGCAGTGGTATTATGGGCTATCAGTTGTACTGACCGAGCGGTCGTTGTGTCGCTTCAGTTGCGGTGTGACTGTTGTGTCGGGTAATCACAATTACCATCATTTCAACAAGCGGCATCAGGGAAGCAGGAACAAGGTATAACGGCTTTTATTTTTAATATCATTTGACTTTTCAAACTGCCATTTCAAAATAAAGGACATTACGGGAATTTGCTATTTACCCCAAATACCATATGTGGACTTGTACTTCTACGTGTGTGTGTGCGGACATTCGTGTGTTGTGTTTTTTTGCACATTTGATCCCTTTTGTTTTGTACCACGTGTATGTGTGTTACTGTGTGTCGTTTGGTAACAAACCATTTGTCACAGTTTTGGCCACATTAGAATTTTTGTTTGTTGCAACCAACGAGACAAATTCATTTCTCATTAATCAACAACAGCTTCAAGTTCTGCTCGCTTCCACAGTGGTTAGGTGTTTGACCGCGAATTTTACATTGGACAATTTTTATTTAATTCGTTTAAATTGTATCTGTCTGCTTTGCTGTGTGTGTGTGTTTGATAAATGTGTAAATAATTGCAGCAACAATTTCAACAAAAAATAAAGAAGGTGTTAAATTCTGCAAGTGGTTACTGGTTATTTCAACATCAAGAACTTTTGTGTGCAGTAGCAATTAGTTGAAGTGAAATCTGAGAATAAAATATGAAATGTGTTTGGGGTAAATTTGTTGGATATAGTGGGAAAATAAACTATGAATATGTTTTGGGGTAAATTTGTTTTCTCATACTTACTTGGAAAAATAAAAGAAAGTCTTCTTATTAAGTTTTTTGTTGTTGTTTCATTATAGTTGATTTATTTATTTGTATTTGTATTTTATTATTTTTCGTATAGTTTGTATATTTATTTTTTGGATTGTATACAACAATGGTGTATTGGTAGTTGTGGTAGTATTTTACATTAATTTCATAGATTACTAGCTAAATTAGACAGTAGGATAATAATATATGTATGTATGTATGCGATTTGTTTTTATTATTAAACGTATTACGTTTTTTGTTATATATGTATGTATTAGAGACCTTGCATTTCGTAGTCGTAGTTATTTATGCTTTAGTATACTTTTTATAAATAAAAACAAATAATTTTATCTGTAAGGGGGTAGGAGGAGTTATTTTTCAAAAATCAGTTATATGTTCGGTAACCATTATGAAAGGTTTGTTTTTTAAATAGAAAAATGTTTTGCTTTGTTTCCAAGGACTTCCAGAGCACGCTGAACGGGTTTCTGTATAAGTTTGTGACAATTGGCATATATTTGCATGCTTTAGAATGATAATTTGAATCTTGAAGAATAATAATAAATACTGACGGATATTCAGTAATATTTGGTAACCTTTTAAATGTCACGAGGATCAATAATATTAGCCAATTAAATCCCTTTGCCCAAAATACATTACATTAATTCCAAAAAAAAAAAAACACTCTTCCTTTTATCGGTCCACAACAAAATGCCTACAAATGGAATAATTGATCATTTAAATAAATTTGATTCATGTATGTATTATATTTCAAGTATATATATTTTTGTGTATATAATTTATGTGAATTTAATATGGTTATTTAGTTGTAGTTAATTATTTTATTTATTTTTAATATTTCCTTTTGTTAGGATACAAAATAGAACGAAGCTTCATGTTTATTGTCATATTTTATTTTTATTCATGTTATTCATATTAATTATAAATATTTACTTTTTATCATTAATGCTATATAGTAATAATTATATTTTGTTTTGTTTATTTTTTTTTTCATCTCTATAGAATTTACGGTAGGTAGGTAGAATAGTGGGGAGTTTTTGTTGTTGTTTGTTTTTCTTTTATGTTGTGGCTAAAATAACAACCACATCCAATACTTATATAATATGCGAGTGTAGTAAAAAAATAATGAAAGAAAAAAGAGCTAATTGAAAAAAACTTACATAATTTACATAAGAAAAATAAATGATAAAGTTAAATATTTCAATAAAATAGGAGTGATAATTGTTTGCAACAAGGAAAGTTGAATAGTTTAAGTTGAAATATTAAATATAAAAAATTAAATACGATGAGAAAATGAAATGAAATATATTCCCGAACGCTGTATATCCACTTAAAGAACAGTCCAAACCCTAAAGACCAAGTTCAAACCAGTGATGGATGAGCAAACAGAATGCCTCGAACCGGGAGGTTAAGGGAGGATAACGTTAAGTTTATCACAAGGGGAAATTGTTCGGATATAAAGTGTAAATAGGCAGACATTTATGCAGTTCCACGTAGACTTCTGTCAAGTTTATGAATAATTCCCTTAGATTTTGAATATAAATAAATGTTGGCTTTTATGTAGCAAAAATATCATTTATTTAGGGGACATTTTATCACAACATAAAAGGACAGTATCATATGATGTAGTTCCAGGTTAAGAATTATTTTTGTATTCTACGTTTGTGTTGTTCATCAATTCAAATTATACTAATAATTATTTTAATTACCGACGACTCCCATTTTGAAATATTACAACTTTATCAGTTTGATTGTAAACTACTACACATACATATATTTACAAATATATATTTAGGCGAAATAAAAAAAAAAATAATGTACACATTTGGGAAGGGTTTTAAATCTATAGAAAAGCATAATAATAAAAACTTAAATCTGCTGCTGTGTAAATCTAAAAATGAAAAGGGCATTGAAATTTAATTGTTTCTTATTTTCATCTATGAAAAAAATATGTATAAAATTAAAAACTACTTTTTGTTGTTGTTGCATAAATCCTAAAACATTACAAAAAACTCTCCTATAACTATAACTAAAACATTAAAATTTAAATGTTGTTTTTATAAAAAATGGTTTAATTGATTATTCGTTGCTTATTTGTCAAATATCAAATGTGTTTTTTGTTTTTATTTTTGTGACATTCGTTTTTTTTTGTTTAGGAAAAAAGCTTATTGTTTATTTTTTTCTGTTTTTTTTTGTATAATGTAATTTAGATTATCATAGCTTGTTTTGTTTTATTTTTTGGAATTCTTTTTGTGTTGGCTGGCTTATAATTTAAACTTAATTCAAATAGTAGGTCGATTGATCTCTTGATTCTATGCCCAGCACTTCTTCGGGACACTGATGATGCATTTTCACCTTGAGAGATTGATAGGGTAGCGGTTTGCCTTCACTTAGATTGGCGGTTACATAGATTAAGTAGGATTCACCCGGTGTTAAATTGAATATCGTATCGGTTTCCAAAAGTGGTGGACTAAGGGTAGAAAATGGAAAGATGAATTAAAAAATAGTTTTATATGTGAACGTCGTATAGGATTCAACTTTCGATTTGGTTCTTCTATTATTACTTTTTTTTTTTGAAATTTGTATATACAAATGTTTGGCGCATGTTCTATATACACCTCCTTTAATGTTTTTTTTTAATTGTTTTTCGTATCTTAATTTTGCCAACAACTTTCTACTTCTCTGCCTTAGAACAATCCAGATTATCTAGGATCATATATTTACTTTTTCCGCAAAGAAATATATGCATGTATGTTTGTATGTCTGTGTACGTGCTAGCCTAGACAAACTCTAGATTTTACAATACTCACTTTTTAGCTTTTTTGGGGCATTTTATTGAATGAAATTGCGGATGTTGCACTACACGCTTGCCAAAATCCATGCAATAATTTGTATAATCGATGGAGCTGCGATTGCGTTGCGGCAAATTGAACACAATTATGCAGTAGCTGTTCAAGTGGAGCGGCGCAAAGCACACAGACACACCGCAAAACACCGAAATGCACCAACACCACCAATATTACCAACATCAATGCATCATGTTGCGCACACAGTAAACACCAACGCACACATGCACACCCACAAGCAGTTGTGAATGTAGATATTACACAGCGACCAGCCAGAATGCATTCAATTGTTTAGCAGACACGGCGATGAGGGGGAGGTTATCATCAACATCATCCAATTTTCATAAATTTCATATTGTGTGTCCAGGTCATGAGTCGCATGGATGCAACAGCATCGAACAAGTTCCAATAGGGTCAGCAGGTCGTTTTCCATCGTTTTTAATAATGAAACAATAATAACAACAACAATTCAATATTTGTTTATTTGATTTCACGTTGATTTTGTTTGGATTGTTGTAAAAACTGTGTCGCCGACGAAAACGACGACGACAACAGCAACAAAAATTGAATTAAGCGAAAATGTTTTTGTTTGTTTACCTGAGTGTACGGATTTCCGGCGAACTATACCAGGCAATTTTTGTCGAATGACATTTTGTTCGTACCTCAAAAACAGTTATGTTTTCGGGCAATTCGGGTAGTTGACTAAAAACGCGATTTGTTGTTACGGCCAGCTGAAAATACGACGGCAGAACGGGGGAAAAAATAATTAGTTTTTAGAATATCAAGAAGGAAATAAACAACACAGTGCAATTATTTTGATATTCCGCCTTTTAAACTGAGTTGTTGTTATTTTTTAAATGCCGATTCTATACAAATTCAATTAATAATAAAATTAGAGAAAAAAGTAGTGTTACAAAGGCTTAACAATTTAAAGCATGGACAACTGTCAACTTTTGTTATAGAAAACTATTGTAATTATTAGTATTCTCTAGACGCCATAAACACTTGCCACATACGGCAGCAAATTAATAATTAAAACTAGAGTTCCCTGGGTTGATCGATAAATTCAAATAATTAATTAATTTTCATTGTCACTGCATTCTAAAACATGGAGCCTTTATAGGCAAGATTAAGGCATAGACGTTACATATATATAAGAGCTTTTACCGGTATTTTTTAAGATAAAACCTACTGCAAGAAGTCTAGGGCGTATGTAGCCTTTGTCGAACAGATCTGAAGCAAGAATTCAATATAGACGAGCCGAATAAGAGATACCTTGTAGAATAAGGGATACCTAATATATACAATTTTAACTTCAAACACTTCCCAGTTCGGGTCGTTGTATAAGCATGTCAGAATGTCCGTTCCAATTTCTTGAAATTTAATTTCCCGTAATATTTATTTATTTAATTTTTTTGCTTACCCCAATTTTATTGGCTCTTAGGACCTCATCATCGTTACTGGGTTTGAAACGAATCATATAACGACCAGATTCCCGTATCGATGACAAATCGATATAAGTTGGCCGGTAAATGTTGCTAATGTTTCCTATGACTTTGCGTTGCTTTAAAATTTTGGCATCGACTTCACTGCCACCACAGGGCAAAATCAAGTAACGCAGTGATGTCTGGGAATCTGGTGTGGGAAGAGGAGGAACCTTCAAGAATAATAAATATTTTAATATTCACATTTTCTTTTTCGTAAATATGTATCTGAATTGAATTCTGAATTTACTTACCTTAAAACTAAACACTTGCACTCCATGTACCCCGGAAATTTTCACCATACTCAAGGAATTGGCCTTCAACAAGACCGGATGAGTTCTATTGAAATGAATGGTCGATGAGGCTATGTGAAAGGTAAGATTTTGACGTTTGGTGTGGATACCAAATACATCCAAGAAATATTCATAATTGGGCGCCAATCCTCGTATCAACTGATGCGTACGACTTCCCGTACATATGACATTAATGGTGTGAGGATCTGAAGACAATTCGACTTGTTATTCTCCACGAAAGGTTACCGTTTCTCTTTCCCTTGTTACTTACCAATTTTCTTGGCCCTCTCTGCTGGCCTGGATAATATTGAATCTATGGTCAGGGGTTGTTGACAAACTCCTGGTGCATTTCGACGATTTGCGGAGGGTGAGGTTACAAATTCATCAACTGCTTGACAGAAATCTTTGTGGGCACCTTTCGTGCTGACCACCAGACAATACTGGACTGCATGGAAATCGAATTTACTAACGAAGAAATTCGATTAATGACTATCCTATTCAGATGATGAATTTATGTTAGAGACTCACCTCCTATCCCATTTGACAATCATTTGACGCTTCCGTATTCGATTTTGACTTCGTATGGTTATGCGATGTGATCGATTCAATAGTGGCCAATTGGCCTGAGGATGTAAACCAATGGCCTCAATTTTTACGGATCCTCTGTGACGGGCCTGAACAAAAATATCATATTGGCCACGCAGAGCACAAGTTAGGGTTATCGAATGTTGGGCATTTTTACTGGAACGCAGTAAGTTTACTGTGAAAACAAAAATAATGGCAAGTTGTAATGCAAAAATCCACCGGGGATACCAGCACCACCACCACCACAGCCATACTTACTCGTCTGATTAAAATATATTTTGCGTGCAACAATTTGTGAGAAATTTATATTTAAGGGCGTCGATGTATTCAAATGCAATACAAATCTGCAAAAAAAACGACAAAAAGAAAAGAATTAAAAAAAAAAACAAAAATACTGAATTGAAAGCAAATAAATATGGCAAAGGGAGAAATTGTTTGTAATGGAAATGGAAAAACAAGTAAATGCTTTTCAACTGGAAATTATGCTTATCAAAAGTACGTCCTTTGGTCGTTTTGCTTTTGGTTCAGTGGTCAGGATATACTAATTTATGAAATAAGAAAAAAAAACCAAAACAGCAAAAATACACCCAACAAACTAAAAGCAAAGAAAACAAGTGCCAAGCAACCAGCAACCAACACAGCACATACATATTTTTGCTAGCTTATTGCTCTAGAATGTATTTATTCTAGCTGAAATTAAACCCAATTAACTTTAAGTTTTTCATATTCCGCTCTCTACTTTTCTCGGTCCATAGATTTTAATTTGTATTTTTTGGGGCTAACAACAAATGGCAGTTTTAATTAAGTTGAGTGTGCAGAAAATGAAAAGCAGACGGAGGTTAGTTTTATTAAAATTAATGCCAATGGAGGTTTCTTCTAGAAGTTAATAATGATAATAATAATATAAGCTATGGAAATAAGGAAAACAAGGAATATATGTAATCACTTGGTTAATTATTACATAGGATTATATTGGGCGGATTTAATGCGTGAAAAATACATTAACTTTAAATGATTTACATATTATCGATGTATTGAAACTATGAAGAACCAAAAAAAGTCCGAGTAATACAAAATATATTTAAATACACGAAATAATAAAAAAGACTGTCCAAAAATCTATCTGTTTCAGCTCGAATAATAATCATTGGAAGTGACTTATGTTTTGAAGTAATTTTACGATGTGCAATATTTGTTTCAACGTGCGCACCAGCCAGCATGACATACTGACTGGCTTATCTAAATCGACTCAAACATTTCTGAAACGGGCTTGGTCTTGGTACATTTGGGGTCTTTAACTAACTTTTAAAAGAGACACATATTTTATGGTATGAACATAAGTTCAAAGCAAAAACCAGATACACGTTCCATTTGCCAGTATCTAGCTGCGTATACGTATTATTATTTTCCACATATTTTAGTACGTATACGCGTATATTCCCTGTACATCGTTTTTTTTGTTATTTTTATCAATAATCGAAGATTTCTTTTGATGTTTACATGAAATTTAATGACTTTCGTGGAAAATAATTTGTAATACAATTGCAAATTACAACCACATGCACAATGCCTTGTTGTTGCTGTTGTTTCGACGATTTTTAAAACGTTTTGCAACAAAAAAAAAACTCTGTAATCATCCTCCGCAGTCCTCTGCGGATCGTTTCTATTGCTAACGCCATTATCATCGTTATTGTCATAATTGCAATCTGTGTGCAACTCTGAGCGACAGCTATCAACAAATAAATTGAAATTGTTGTGAATGTGTGTGTGTGATTGTTGCTGTTCTATTATTATTATTATGTTGTTGTTGTTGTTGCACAATCAATGCATAATAAAACAAACACCAACGCGAAAACTGTCATGGAGCAGAATTTCTATACAAATAACATAAATATTACAAAATTACGATAATGTAGACGGCGAGGGGGTTGACACACACAATCAATTCTATTATCGACAACATCTCGCCATCCTTTCACAGGCAGACAGTTTGCAATTGTTCGCATAACAACAATAACAACATACGATTGTCAAAGGGGCATTTGTGTAGGCAAGGAATAAAAACTAGGAAAAAATGCGTGATGTGATGTATTAGTGGCAGGACGAGGATGGGATTTTTTTTGTTGGAGAGCAACAATATAAAGACGTTACAGAACGGAAATACTGAGTCATAAAAATTATCTTCTAAGATGACGGGCGACACTTTACAATTACAATACTCTACACTAGCAACAAGAACAACACCATAAATGACACAACAATGAAAAACTACCAGTTACAGCAATGACAAAAGCCAACAACGGCAACATTGAATGGTTTATTGTGCTTACATAACGACTTACACAGACCAATAGACAGACAGACAGACAGGCAGAGGGACAAACGCACTCACACCCATGCATTATGTCCACAAAAACATCCTGCAAACAGTTTTAAGAATGACTCAGTCATAGTATTTTTCCCAAGCCGAAGGAGGAGGAGGAGGCGGACGATGTTTATCTTCGAAGACAAAAAACCAGCAATTCAATTCCCTCCCCCCACTAACCGGCAAAACAAGTCAATTTATAGTTGCATTTCTCCACTTGTCGTTGGATGTGGCTGCTGTAGAGCACCGATGACAGTGACAAAATTTCCAGACGCATTTAACGCTCTACATTGCAATCGTTTTAATATCCTGGCAAAGCACAGTCACATTTATTTACAGACATAAGCAGCATGTCCATCCATTTAATGAGCTGATTTATAAGCCAACAACTGAATTATGGCTTTCTAATGGTAATGCTAGCAATAATGGCCAAAGTGTCTGCCAAAACAAAGCAGAGCGTTACAAATTCCGTTTTTTTTTTTTTTTTTTTGGAATGTCGTGGATATAAAACCATAGCTGAGATCTCGAAATAACACAATACATATATATTAAGTATTGCTAAATAAATTGCAAAAAAAATAATTTAAATAATAAATTGTTTAATTCATTTTCATATAAAAATCAATCTTATTTAAAAAAATAGAATTTTTAGTTTCTTGTTTAGTTTGAATGAAAGTCTGATTTTTTTCTCACTTGTTACGTAACAATCGGTCTGTAAACTCGAATCAATCTTAAAGGAACCCCCCCCATTCTCGATTTTTTATTTTTAAGATTTTAAATGGGCTGGTAAATGAATACCAATGCTTGTTAAGGTTTGTAACTTGGCACATATATATTTGAAGATTTAAAAAGGAAGAAAAATAATTTATAAAAATTTGTTGTTGTTGTTTTGTTGTTGTTTTTTGGGTGCAAAGAAAAGTCCACATTTTCGATGGCGGGCATGATAACTCCTCACTGGAACATCGGAATCCGTAAATTCCAACTGTGTTCTTAGGATTATTGACTTCGCTCTAAAATTGAAATTTTTTTTTTGGAAAGATTTTTTACCAAAAACCATGTTAAAAAAAAAAGTCTTCACCGATTTTTTTTCTATACACTCTTGCAAAATTTGGAACCGAATGGATTATTGGTTTTTGAGTTATCGTGCCCGCCATTCACAAAAAAATGTTTAGAGTAAAACGCGTTTAAAGTTTGAGAAGCCCTTTAGCCGTCACTTAATGTTGATACAATAAATCTCGATTTTACTGAAATTTTTACTTCGATATCATAAAGGAAAAATCGTAGATTCTTGCAGTACGGGAACATACCATATATTATAAAATTTGACTTAAAATATTATTAACTTTCACTTCAACCACTTATGCAGTCTGTCTCTATCATGCCCCGGAAATCCCATCATATTACAAAAAAATAAATCCACTTATCTTTTAGTGTCTAAACAGAGGATTATAATTTTCATATCAAATCCGCATGGCTATTATTCTTCATTGTATTTAGTTTTTGTTCATAAAATAAATGCGGTGAAACATTACCACAATTGTGGTGAAGGTCTCTTGAAATACAAAAACGAAAACAAAAAAATAAAATAAAATAAAAAAAACGGATAGTTAAACCTTTCTGTCCTCAACCAAAGGAAGAAGGGCAACGGAGGTAAAGGGTGTAAAACCTAAATGGATTTAATTAAATTGTTGCCATAGGCAACCAAGGATGTGTAAGGATGTGATAGTAAACATTTGAGCTAAACGCTCTTCACTTTTCTATTCCCAGTGTGGTGAGGAATGATGGCCTCATAATAAATTTATTCTAGAGATGTAAAGTTCTTTTACGGGTATTTTGAGATTTTGGGAGATCGGGTTTTAAGAAAATTTGCACGGGTCTTGGTAGTTTTGTTATCAATCGTCATTTTATGGCCTTTAGAAATACAGGCCAATTTTTTAACATTATAACTTGTGAATTTCAGTTTTCACAAATCAGTTTTGCATTTCAAGATTCTATAGAACTTGATGTCCTCTTGCCCCCAAGGGATCGGTCCAACACTAAGATTTTAGCATAACGATTATAACTTTTTTATTATTATTTCTATCTGAATAAAATGGGAGATTTAAAAATGTATAAACCTAATTCATACCAGAATCGAACATGTACTTTTTCTAATCGCGTTGAATCATTTGTTTTCACATATTCTAGAGTGCAAAAATCACATCCAACGCTAAAACAGAAATAAGTTTGTCCTTAAGACATCAGAACAATTGAATATGACATCAACTACAATATAAAAAATAAATAAAAACCGAATATACGGTTTCGATTTCCCACTTCGACTTTCCTTATTGTATTTCTTGTTGACTGCGTGGGAATTGCCCCTAGGCAGTGCTGTCTTTTGTATCCTTCGTGGTAGATGATAATAAGGTAAAGAAGGATACAATTAAAAACCAAAATGAATATAAATTCTGACCTCTTTTCTAAAATGAAACTGTTGCCATAGGTAATCAGAATATATGTATGTATGTCTTTATGTCCACCACTTTCCACATTTTAATGTAAAGTAATTTGATGCTTCGTATTTTGTGTTTTTTCTTCTGATTCTTCTTTTAATTAAATCCCTATTTAAATAAATTGAAATTAAATTAGGATTTAGTAAAGAATAAAAAAACTCAGCAACACCATTCTGTCTGTCTGTTGGACAAATGTTGAGAAAAAAAGTTAATTGAAATATTTGTTCTGCATTTGTTGTTGTTGTTGTTGTTGTCGCTATTGTTTTTTGTTGTTGGTTGGTGAACTCTTAATGTCATGTTTAACAAAGGCCTCTGAAATAGCGGGGTATGGTATGTTCAGTGAGGAAACAACTTATAAATTGTACAGAAAACAAAATGAAATTAATAACATTTAATAAGGATATGTTATAATTAAAACATTATTCTAACTAATTTTATAGTAGTGGTTTCGTAGAAACCCCTCTATTATATGTGTAGATTTGATAAAAGTTTCCTAATTTTGCAATAATTAAAATTTTAACTGTCATTATGTCGTCTCTGGCATTTTTTGTTTGCTTTGGCAAGTTGTCGTTTTGTTCCCTTTTCTCGGTTTTGTCATGGTTGGTTGGCTGCCCCAGCTGTCATTCAATATTTTGACACTTTTTTTCTTAAGTGTCAGCCGACATTCACCGCATATATTCACACACACACACACACACACACACACACACTCAGGCATACACATATGCACGCACACACGCATGCACTCGTATGTACTTACGTCAGAGAATAATGCCAAAACCAAATCAGCTAAAGCAATAGCAGCCGACAAGGGGAGCCTAGGCCGTAGAAACACGTGCTTCGGTACGCAAAACAATTATTTTTAATTTGTTGCAACATTGTTGCACAAATTGTTTGCGTTCTATATACCCGGCGACAGTTTTTGTTCTTTGTTTGCTGTTTGAACGCAGCTAAACACACAATGCTGAAGAGTGGTGTCGGAGATGATCTCTCACTCTTTCTCTGCCAAGAAGAAGGCGTAAGTAATTTAATAGGTTGCGATAAGTATAACGAGACGAAGAAGAAGAAGAAGACAAAGAAGAGGACGAGGAGGGAGAACTGTCAAACAACACACACACATACGCTGTGAATGAATCACTTTTTGTGTTTTTGGTATCGTATTGTTTCAAAAGTACGTTCATCGACACATGCTGGGAAACATTAGATTCTTGGGCATTTTAAACTTTTGTATTAAAAAAAGAATAAAAATTGATGTGTTTTAAAAGTTTGATGGGTCAACAACTTTTAAATAAGGACTCATTTATGACAAAGGCCCAAAGCAATTTTATCTAAGGCAATATGAGTGTCTGCATGCATGGAAGTTTAAAGGCCACAATGAAAAAAAAATATCAGTAACCAGGAGTTTTGTTATTAAATTATAAAGAAATTTCTATAAGGAGAAATGTACGGTATATTAAAGAAAGTGTATAGCACCAACGCAAAATTATAAATTCATTTTCACAGCTGGCTATGGTTTTAGCTAGAAAATTAAATAGAAATGGTCACAACACCCAGTAGCAGATGCACTTCCCCACAAATCCTCAATAAGCTTAACAGAATCATCAGCAAATTAACAAACACAGCATTCGCACACAAACATCATCTACACTATCACATTTATACTCTCGCCCACAAAGCTTTATGACTTTTTCCGCCAACAAACTAATTTTCTTTGCAATCGTTTTAAAGCCCACGCCGTGTCCTGAAAATGTCTTGTTGCCAATCCTCGGCTGTGTGCGCGAACTATTGGCATTCCAAGAAATCTTCCTAGAAATATTTGCATTTAAAGTAAATCATTTTGTTTTGCTATCATCTAAAAAATGTTGATTCTTGTTTTTAGGTTATGTTCTCCTTTTTATGTTTATTTAAAATAAGAAAAAATAATAGTTGTATGTCAGGTTTCATTATTATAACCCATATCTTCCGCTCCAATTGAATCGTGTCTAGATAGGTTTTAGGAAACCAAGAAAAGTCAATGGATGCCAAATCAGATATATATACCGGAAGGCATAATAATCGGTCATATAGAGTTGATGTTAGTTGAAGAAAGGAACCATCTAAATATCAGCATATACATAACACATTTTCTTCTTGAATTTCTAGACTCTTCGAGTTTTTATATAGCCCGATGATAATAAACTTACTATTTTATTTAATTGAACTACCTCTATTAACAAATAACGCTGCATATTTCGACCGATTATTTCTGTATCGCACCATATGGGGCAGAATATCGAAAAATATCATGGTCGTTTTGTTTTTCTTTTTTCCTTCTAGAACTCTACATCGGTGTAGACTTCGTGGTCGATTATAGCAGATTATTTTCTGTGACAAATGAATAATTTTAAGATTTAAGATTTTTTTGTGAAAATTATCCAACTGATATAGATCCAAATATGATATTTATAGTTCAGTATGGCATACACTTTTTAGTTCATTCCCGTCAGCAGCTATCCCTTTTACTGCTCGTTAACAAGCACCCTTTCACTTGGCAACAGATATACAATTTTAAACTTTTATCTGAGCTGGGTAACCGACAGACAACACAACACAACAGACATCCTTATTTAGATTTGCATCCTTGGCAAATGGATGATTGTAATATATTTCGAAAGTAGATTTTAATCTAGATTATTATTGTTTTTTTATTAAGATTTAATTTTCAAACGGAAATTAAATGGTAACCATTTTCCTTTCACAGTAGCTGCTTAAAAGAGGGCATAGCCGGAGAAACAAAACAGGCGATTTATTTCTAACCTTTCCAAGAATATTGTTACAGTGTTATTTTGTGTAATGGTGGAACCACCTAATCCATTTCAGGAGAAGCAGTTATTACTCGCTTAAATGGGGATGTGATACAAGTGTTCTTTCTATGCAGTTTATATTTTGTTTTTTTGTTTTTTAGTTTGCTCTGCTATGTAGTTTTACACAAAAATGGCATCACATTCACGACACAAATTCACTAAAGGCAATGACATTCTATGATAAGTGTCCTCTGTGACTTGTGTCCACACCCTTCTCCACTACTTTGCTATGATTTCAGTATAACCAACAAATAACAGACAGAGAACATTGACCGCCGACCCTCCAATGGCATGTCCGTTGTGCATCATTCTCAATTCACTATTCTGTCAGTCAGTCGGTTTGTTGCAACAGGACGGAACAACTTTAATTATCTGCCAAAGTAAATAGAGTCGTTTTTTTGCTTTGTTTTGCTGTTGCGGGACAAAAAAGTAAACAAAGTGACGCCGTTAACAGGCCTACTCTTCTTCATCAGTAAGCGGCTACATTCTCTGGGTCACAGCCTGCCGGTCACTAGCTGTGAATTACCAACTAAAGTCAACAATGAAACATGCATTGGCAGTGGCCAGGCACGAAGATATTATTCACCCCGAAGGAAGTTCACGGAAGAGACCAAATAATGTTATAAAATTCCATAGCAAACAGAAAGCCTTTGCAGTTGCATTTCCCCAGCTGCGATTACTGGTTGAATAGCCAAAGCCTGTGGAGGCATCAAAGGAGTGCGTTGTAATGTCCGTCTACCTGAAAACTGTTGCATTACTTCTGGTTTTTCTGCACCGGAGCTATGGCATTGTGAATCCCGACAATGAATCTGCCCGCATGGTTATCTATCTTCAGAAACCCAGCAGTTTGGGACCTAGAACCTGGTTGGCCGGAGTCAACTGCTTGGATCAAATAACTCGTCTATTCTTTCGCAAACGTGAAAGCCTCACACGGTCGCCAAATGTGGTTATGACCATTGCCAAGAATATGACCACTCCAGCTGCTCAAATCCAGGAGGGATTTCTCAAAATTATGATGGAGGCCGTCAGCGAGCTGCAGCCCGTTCACAAACGCTATCAAATGCGTATCGTTTCGGATGCCCAACCCTACGTAAAATTTAAAATGAAACAAAATGAATTGGTATTGGCGGATTACTACATCATTGTTGTTGATTCCCTGACTCGATTATCCAACCTTCTGCAGAACTACGTCAGCAATATGCTGTCTTGGAATCCGGGAGCACGTTTCCTAATACTCTACAATAATGTCAAGAATCGCAACAATTCAGATGAAACAGCTAAAGTAATTTTCCAAGCGATGCTAGACCAATTCTACATCCATCGTGTTGGTCTGTTGTACGCCACTTCGGATACCGGATATGTCTTCAAGGTATTGGACTACTACAATAGCTTGTCGTGTCGAAAGCTTAGGGTCAAACAATTTGCCGAATGCCAGGAGGGTAATGTGTTGACAAAAAATCCTGGAGGTCTTCAGCGTAGTTTGGATCGATTTTTGAGCAGTTTGAGTCTGACTAATTGTACATTTTATATGTGTGCTTCCATTTCGGCACCATTTGTGGAGGCCGATTGTGTGTTGGGTTTGGAAATGCGAATAATTGGATTTATAAAGACACGTCTGAATTTTAATGTAAGTTTGAAATGTGTTCCTTACAATTTGTTGGCGGTGTGAAATGTGAGATATGCAATATATATTTTTGGTTGAAATGAGGTGTACACGAAAGGGAGAGAGAGGGGGCGTATGCACGGTATCGTTAGTTATACGTAAGAGATAAAGACTTTTTAGGAAATTTCAACATTCACTAAGGACGGGATAATTGTCGCTGGATAGCAGTCTAAAAATGTCAATCTCAAAAGAAGTAGTATTGGGGATCAAATATTTTTATGCATATCTCACGTTTTTTATTTAACGAATTACAATTTCCTACCAAATGTTTTTTACCCTTACGTCCATTTAGATTATTCAGCAATGTGAACGTGAAAGTCGCGGTGTCCAAGAAGAGGCCGGAAATTGGACTGGTCTATTGGGTAGGCTAAACGAAAAGTCTTGTGATTTCATCATGGGTGGATTCTATCCCGACAATGAAATTATAAGTAACTTTTGGGTATCCGATACCTACTTGGAGGATTCCTATACATGGTACGTGAAGTTGGCTGATCCACGTCCAGCCTGGATGGCTCTCTATTCCATATTTCAAAATCTAACATGGGCCGCCTTCGTTGTGATGTTGTTGATTACTTGGCTAACATGGTTTGTGTTGGTGTACTTTTTGCCCGAACCAGCGGAGAGCAAGGAAGTGTCGTTAACCGGTATCAACAATATGGCAGTGTCGATTTGTGTATCGGTTAACGAACGGCCGTTATGTTTAGCTTCCAGATTTTTCTTTGTATCCTTAGCTTTGTATGGACTAAATGTTACATCGACCTATACCTCGAAACTCATATCGGTTTTCTCTAATCCTGGACATTTGCATCAGATCGATACTCTTGCAGAAGTGGTAGATGCTGGTATACCATTTGGTAGGTTAGCTAAAATAGTTAATTCTTTTCTCAACAGCACCCATTATAATTCCCTGCAGGTGGCTATGAAGAAAGTCGGGATTGGTTTGACAACGACGAGGATTATTGGGTCTTTGATAAATATAATTATTCCGCAGATTTTGAACCGCTCTATATAAATCTAATATCAGTCGAGCAGGGGGAACGTGTGATATTAAGCCGCCGCATGTATATCATGCAAAGTGCCTTGGCGGATAATATCTATGCCTTTCCCTTTAATGTCTTCTCCAGCCCCATGCAGATGATTATGAAGCCAGGATTTCCTTTTCTCTATGAATTCAATTTGATGATACGTTATATGCGCGATTTTGGTTTTCTAAATAAAATCCATCGTGATTTTGTCTACAACAACACATATCTGAATCGAATTGCAAAGATGAGACCAGATTTTAAAGGTAATGGCCAGCAAGAAGATACACAAACATGTAATTAGCGATTATTTTATCCTTTGTTCCAGAAAAAGTCATTGTCCTAAGAATGGATCATTTACAGGGAGCCTTTTCTATCTTAAGTGTGGGTATTTGTGCCAGTATAGGACTATTTTTGGCTGAGCTCTTGGTGTACTATGTGTGTGGGCCCTGTTTGTTCAAATCGCCGCATAAGAAGCGTCAAAGAAAGCGTCGGGATAAGGAGCGGAAACGAAAGCGTAACAAATCACCCGAAGAAATCGTTATATATTGGAATGAAATTAATCTACAAAAGGATATGCGTTTAACACCGCTCAAGAGAAGGATTGTTCAGAAGTCGTCGAATGAATAAAGCAAAGTGTGATAAATGCAAAATGTTCCATCAGAAATTAAATGTGTTTTAAAATAAAAGCAAACTTTTAATGAAATTTACAATATTGTTGAAAAAATAAAAAAAAAAATGTGGAAATATTTAATGTTTTAATTTGAAATTTAACCGATGAGGTCTTTCCATTACACTATAACTGGTAATGAAGTGTCACAACAGATCCATTCGTATTTCGTCATCAGGCAAGTGTAAAAATGCATCTATGGTCATGTGTTTTCGTGTGGGTAACGCAACCGCACCACCACCACTTTCATCTTTCCCTTTACAACATGTACGATTGTTTATTTACATAGCCTAGAGGAGGAAGACTAGCAGCGCGACCACTTTGGCTCATAAAACTCAAATCACTCACTGAATGTAAACAATTCCGAGAAACGTGATATTTCATGGTGGTACCACACAGTGTTCTTACAACGAATGTACATTTTCGATGACGATGACGACGACGACAACGCCACAGACTAGGAAGGAAAGGAGAAGGAGTCATAAAATTGCGACACAACATCACAATAACCAGGCAAGGAACGACGGCTAGGATTGTTTGCAAAAAAACTTCCATCGATGAAAATTTGTTACCGCAACAAGATAAGGATGGAAATCTCCCCTCCCATGTTAAGTGTGAGAATATTTGGAAAGAAATTCTGTTGCAAATATTCAATGGCCATTGACATAATATTTCGAGAACTCTTATAGTAATTAAGAAAAAATGCTAATTCCACTCCTTCTCCCCCCCGTCCCTACCAGCACTCCAATAATATTTGCAAACTACTACAAAATTGTGTGGCTATGTAAACAAATCGTAAATTTCAATTTTACGACTTAATTCGGCATTTAGTGCAGGAGCAACAGACGATCACTCGATTCCGAACATATATTGTAAGTGGTTTTTATGTTGTATGTGCGTTTTACTCAATATTTACTCGTACAAGCAAAACAAACAGAAACAACAAAAACAATAAACAACAACCACAATAAAAACCATTGGTGTTGATGAGAGTCCGATATTTGTTACTGAATTGTTAACACGGTTAATAATCGCACGAGGTCGGAGTATTCAGTGAATATCCCGAATGATTGCTAGTACTTCGTTCTTTTTTTTTAACTAAAATTGATGTGTATATTCTACACAAAAGAGGTTATTGCTTTTTTAAACTCCTCATTACAATCGATGCAAGTTATAGTTCTTTCAAAAGATTCTGTTATATAAAAGTTCATAATGAACAGATCGTACGCGGAACACAATATATCATCCATAGTATGGAGAGTAAATATACTGGTCAATTCGTTTCCAATGTATTGAAACATTCCAAGTAAATGTGGAATCACGATAGAGCTTACAACGTTAAAACTAGAGCTGTGAACTTTGTAGGATGTTTGGTATTGAAACTAATCATATCGGTCCTATATGATGATTTTGGGGTTCTAGTAGGCTATATAATGCTACCTTACGTTTCATATACTTTAAAGTTTCTCGCTGTAATATTATTTCTGCTACTACTCAGAGGGTAAAATACCTCAAAGCATAAGATTTACAATAATGGCCCGAAGTGGTTGAAATTTGGCATTTCGATTTCATGCAGGGAAAAATACATCCCCTCCAAATGTTTTTGCTATTTTGATATCACACCCACCTCGTTACTATTTGTTTTGTTTTTCAAATCATCACGATCACTTGAGATTCTTCCCAACGATCGCGGCGTGTGGTTTCCCGATGTTGATGCCGTGCTGGTTGGCGTTGGTGTAGAAGTGGCGTTTATTCGTGGTGTGTTTTGTTTTGATTTCAGTTTAGTTTAGTGGTGTTGTTGATGTTTACGTTTTCTGCGGTTTGAATGCAACGAATGAACGGGCCGACGGACGAACGAACGAATGACATTCATTGATTCATTCATGTTTGCTGTTATTACTACCACTGCCCTCTGCTGCAGCTGCTGCCGTCACAACAACTGCGGCTGGTAGCATTAACAATATTTTAATTACTTCGACCCGTTTAATGCGTTGTTGTTGACTGAATTTACTACCGCACGTCCTCTTATTTTTTTGCGATGCAAATTGTAACGCAATACGGCAACACCGTGTCACTGATGTTGTCGTTGAGCGAATAAAGAGAAAAAACGTCGAAACGAAACAAAAACAAAATATCAGCAGGCCCATAAAAATTATTTTATGGTTAAAGTTCGTGTTGTTATTTGCAAAACAACAATGTTTTGTTGTTGTTTTTATTGTGTGGAGAGTATGTTCTGGTCCATTCAATGCAATAATTAATAATGGAAATTTGGTGGTTTCCCCATTGACGGACTAAGAGCTGTTTTCGTTTTTTGTTTTCTTTGTATATTTCCAATGTAAACAAGCTTTTCATTTGCCTTTTGTTTTGGTCATGTTGCGGTGTATTTGCATTTAAATATTAATCTAATGTTCATTTGTTTGTTATAAACAAATGCTTATTTCATACTCTAATGAGGTGATTTCAGATCTCAGATAAAAGCGAAAAAACACTTGGCGCCAAGATGATCTCCTTAACTGAATAATTTGTGTTGTTGCAACGCGATATGAAATGCAAGACAAGACAACAGTTTGTTTGTTCGTTTGTTGTTTTTAGCCGACACAGCATATTTTACAAAGTAAAAAATTGTGTTTCTAGAAAACAAAGCTATATACAACTGAATTTTATTGAATGCAACAAAATTTTTACAATGTAAGCGAACAATAATAACAACATAATTTAAGGGATTGTTTGGCTTGGTGGAATTGGTTGGCGTGCAGCTTTGGAAATAATGCATTTCCCATTTCCCCATATATGGGGAAATGGGAAATGATAAGAAGAGCAAAATGGGATGACATTTGCTCTCTGGGGAGGAATACGATGAAATTTGTTTTTTTTTTTTTTTTTGTAATTCTTAATGGCATTTTACATACGCCGTCACCTCACAAGGAACAAATTTGAAATAGCTATATATATATATATATAGATTATATTTTTTACTCTCGAAGGACTTATTTTCGAAAATATTGTGATCAAGAAAACCCATGTACAATTTTTTCATAGCTTTAGAATATAGAGAATTGTTTTCTTTAAGGAATATTTTATACGAATAAGTCTTGTAATTTACTACATTAAGTTTACAATTTCCATAATATTCTGATTTGGGTTAAGTTAACTTAGAATATAACCATTATGGTTATGCCTTTTTTCTCAAAAACCATTTCAAATTGTGTGAATGAATGAGCTTTTGCCCATTAATGACTAACATAAAGTTTATTCAATTTATTTTTTAATCTACTTTTATTATAGGAGTAGTATGATTTTTGTTCTCCCCAATCGAACCAAATGTCTTCTTCTTTTATACTTTTTATTTTTTTTATTTTATAAAATTTTTTTTTATTGTCCCAGACGTGTTCTCCCTCCTCGTTCACACATGACTCATGATCAGTATAATTGATTTAAATAAATTCAATGGTTGCTAACTATTTTTTGTTTTTGCTATGAATATATTTTACAAAAGTCTTCGAGTACATATATTCTGTCTACCCAAACCCTGTTTTGTTGTTGGGCAATAAAACTTTTAATTTTTTTCTCCTACTTTGTCATATTTTTTGTTTGTTTTGTTGTTGGTGGGCACAAAAGAAAGTTATTTGCTTGCAGTTTGAGACCACAATAACAATCATACTAAAAGTCAAGAGGCTGCAGAAGTGGAAAAAACGACTCCAACTATAATTTATCAAAATAATACATAAATTCCTGACGCCAACTTCTTTGCTCGTCGCTTTTGGTGGTTTGGCTTCTTTTTTGCTCTCTATTTCAAATATTATTATTGCTGTTTTTTTGTTGCAATAAGAAAGTTCTCTAGAAATGTTGGAAAAAATGTGGCTATGCGGCATTTTAAGAAAGAAGAAAGTTTCCTTGAGCAAGCAAGAAAAATGTAAAAAAAAAACAACAGCAAGGACAACAAGGGCAATAAAAAATGGTACTTCTGCTAGACTCATGGAACACATATGTTTGAAATGTGATCACGTAAAGTCATTGCATTAAAAAAATATTCGTTTTGCTGGGCGAAAAAGAAATGCTTTAAACAAATCCTGCCACCAAAACAATGTTCGCATAAAGGATATTACAATGTAGTAGTGGACCTTGTAAATATATATGTGTGTGTTTGTTGTTATGTCTGTTGTGTTTTATTGTTTATTTTTATTCGTTTTTTTTAATGATCCAAGCGTTGAGCATCAGCTCTCTGACTAATGGCTTGTATTGGACAAAAATGCCATTGCCATTGAAAATAAAAATGTTTGAAGGCCATAAAATCCTTCTAAATGTAGATTGGTGTGGGTATTATAGAGAATGTATAATAATATCTATTATTTTATTCTCTTTATAATAATTGTATGCCATTTTATGAAATACTGAAAAATGTTTTGTATTTTCAAAGGCTTGGTGATTTTTAAACGAAACCCCATATGTGTCCAATGTCGCTTTTTTACTTCATCAATTTCGTATATATCTAGTTATTACAACAACAGTTAAATTGTAATATTTTCCTATTCACAAATAGTTTCGTTAACATGGACGCCATAGTATCGTGGCGTTTCTGTTAGGAGTTGAACTTAATTTTATATTTTTCTTTGGTATCGATTCCTCTAGTTTATCTTATGTAATTTTTGAATATTCTAAAATCTATTTGGCGCAATTTTGTAAATATTTTTATTTAGCCCTACTCGATACAATTAAATAAAAATGCTCAAAACAACTGATTCTTTGGGCTAGTTTCCAGGAATAATTGAAAATCCAAATAAAAACAACCAACCCCCTGACCTTTTGACTAATCTCCAAATATATAATCTCTCATTTATTTATCGTCCTGCTGTGTTTGTGTTTCAATATTTCCCCCTCCTAAACAACTACAACAAAACTGAATGTCACACTAATTTAAACGACTACTTAAATAATGAGCGGTCATTACATTGGCCACACA